ACTGTGGCTCCTCGGTGTGTGTGTGGCTCCCCACCACGGGCTCCAGAGAGCGGGTCCTCCTTTAATTCCTGAACCAAGCCCGGGTGAGGGGGCGCTTAGAGCACACAGCCATCAGGAGAGTGAATGGATGGGCAAATGACCAAGCAGATGGATGGTTGAGTGGATGAGTAAACAGGGGATGGATGGATGAGTGGATGCATGAGGGAGGGAGGGATGGATGGATGAATGGATGGAAGGAGGAGGGATAGATGGAGGAGGGATGGATGGATGGATGGAGGAGGGATGGATGGAGGAGGGATGGAGGAGGGATGGATGGAGGAGGGATGGAGGAGGGATGGATGGAGGAGGGATGGAGGAGGGAGGGATGGAGGAGGGAGGGATGGATGGATAGATGGAGGAGGGATGGAGGAGGGATGGATGGAGGAGGGATGGAGGAGGGAGGGATGGAGGAGGGAGGGATGGATGGATAGATGGAGGAGGGATGGAGGAGGGATGGATGGAGGAGGGATGGAGGAGGGAGGGATGGAGGAGGGAGGGATGGATGGATAGATGGAGGAGGGATGGAGGAGGGATGGATGGAGGAGGGATGGAGGAGGGAGGGATGGAGGAGGGAGGGATGGATGGATAGATGGAGGAGGGATGGAGGAGGGATGGATGGAGGAGGGATGGAGGAGGGAGGGATGGAGGAGGGAGGGATGGATGGATAGATGGAGGAGGGATGGAGGAGGGATGGATGGAGGAGGGATGGAGGAGGGAGGGATGGAGGAGGGAGGGATGGATGGATAGATGGAGGAGGGATGGAGGAGGGATGGATGGAGGAGGGATGGAGGAGGGAGGGATGGAGGAGGGAGGGATGGATGGATAGATGGAGGAGGGATGGAGGAGGGATGGATGGAGGAGGGATGGATGAGGGATGGATGGACAGGTGCATGAGGAATGGATGCTTCCTCCAGGGCACTGAGGCTGAGAGGACGGCCAGGAAGAGACGTGACTGAGGAGAAATGGAAGGAAGGGACATGGGTGCTTGAGGTGCAACCCCCACTGAGCAAACGCCTCTGAGCCACGTGCCATGTGCCGAGGCCGGGTCCTCGCCCCTCCCCAGCCTCCCTGAAAGGGACGTTCAACAATCCCAACCCAACTCCGGCTCCGAGAACCCTGTCCAGCCTGGAAACCAGGAGACGCTTCCCATTCCTGC